TAATAATGAAGCTAGCAGAATGAATACATGCGTAGGCGCTAAACAATGTTCAAGCATATGTATTTCATACAAGCATAATAATAAAGATAGTACAACAAGTTGTTATATCATGGATGACTTTGTCCATTAAATAGGTCAACAAAAGACCTTGACTGAACTAAACTCAATTGCACGTGAGTCACTATAATATGTTTACGGGTGGATGTATCATTGTTAGTCGCGGTGTGATAGATGTATCTCATATTAGATTTTGCCCTATTTCGTCAAATGATTTGTTATTGAGATCTAGTAATAAAGACATACATTTAGCGAAACAATCGCAAAATACTGATGCATAATAAAAATTTATTTACCTAGTGGTTAATATGCATTTTCGTCATTGTCGTCATCCCGTTCAGTGAACTCCTCTGAGTTAATCGAAACAATTTCTTCCTCGTCATTGCCTATCGTTCCATCCATATTGACGTTATTTTGATAGTTGGTAACTTACAAAATATGAAGGAAGGACCTTGAGTGTTCACGAAATTCCTTTATGAAAAATTATAACAACACTAATCAAATTACCTCGGTCGTCTACTCGGCTGTGAGAAACCCCTAGGTGTTCTACGGCCATTTCTCCAACATGTGGATTAAATATACGGCCTCCGATCTCTATGGCAATGAGAATCTCTCACCTCATGATGGCAGTACGTGGCTGTTTCATAAGTTCTAACGGCGCTCTTCAATTGACATTATGTAGTGGAATTAGTTAGACACTATTTGAAATAAACTAGAGTGTATTAGACAGAAACATAAGATTCATGTAGACACAGGTATGAACGATTCAGAACGTATATGAATAACAATGAGAATCAATATGATTCAAGATTCTTGTTCAGTGTACTTTTCTTCGTCACAATTCAGTCATCAATTATGATGTGTATAAATTTTGTATATTTGATTGTAATGAGATGGTGTTATTTGAACGAATTCTTGCAGATGTAGATGCGCGAAGATTGGAGGTGATTATGGATAAATCACGACATAAATTGCTTACTATATTATTATTATTAGGGATTTGATTTATTCGCTGTTGATATTATTGACTGAATTTTGACCAGTCTTCATTTGTATTCCGGTGTAAAGTTTGACACTAAAAAACAGGTGAACCTATCTGATGAGTCACATATAGGACGGAAGGGATTTCTTAGGTTCCACATGCAGACATCAATCCACTATACTAAAATTGTCTTGTGACCTAATATCACTATCCAGACCATCATTTCAACTTACGAATATGTCAATGGAGACTCATCAGTCAAGAGGTATTATTGACGACTCTGCATATTTTGTTATGTTTTAAATTAGTTCGTGTTCAAAGTTAAAGTACCTTGACTGTAAAGTATTTTTATTTAGTCATTTAAGTGTAGTTGATTTATTCACTCATCTTGAAAGATGGAATAGCTTCACTTTTCTTTTACTGAAAAATATATTTAATATTTGGCTTTAATTTATTATTCATGCTACTTATTTATTGCCAAGCAAAATTTCATCTGAATCTAATTGATCATGTTCCACTTAGAAAATTACTTAAGTTTCAAGTATGACTTTTAAATCTTCAGATTGAGCAACATTTTACTGTAATTACCAAATAAGATTATTATGAATAATATTAGATAGTTTAAGTGATACTTAGATAAGGTCAGTGTGAATGAATGGTCTTATAGTTGAAAACAAAGAAAAAAAACATATGTTTAAAGGTTAGCAATAAAATTGGTTTCATACTGATGTGAACAGAGAAACAAGAAGCTTTGACAAACTACGGAATTTATTTTTAGGGACGTTATTTCAGTTAATTCAAAGCTTGTCCATAGTCTATTCTACAGATCATAAGCTTTCGTTTGATGTAAGATTCACTGCTATAGCCGTTTTTGTTCCAAAGCTATTGTAATTTAAATGTATTATTTTGTACTCTTTTCTACGCTAATCCCCAGTTTTGAACAGAATTGTATTCTCCTAATTATTGTATGTTGTGGTCGGGTTGGTAATCTATTCATTCTTGTATCTTTTTACACTGATCTGAAATCGGGAACCAGATCGGAAGTGAGAATAAATCGAGTAGTGTTCCAGTTGATTTGTCTTCTCTCACTCGTGTGCTTGTCAGCCTCTGATTTATTTGGTAAACATGAAAATGAACAAAATATAGTTTGTCAAATTCGTCTTCAGATTGGACACTTGGTTGAAGGCAGCTTAACGACTAGTAGGTTTTGAGATAGTGCTCGTCGGTAAAGTAGAAGATCACTAGTCCTAAAGACGATATAAAGTTAATTAATTAATTAGCGGACATAACATTTATCTACTTCTATAATAATTAACTTGATCATACTACGACAAAACAAAGAGAAATTTTACTTTTTTGAAGTTAGATCATTTTACGTTCCATATTTCTACAGTATCAAATCTACCTTTGTAGATTCCAGCGCCAACATACACTCACAACCTGTTTGTCATTTAATTATCCGTTTATGTTGCCTGTTTCATGAGAAAATTCGTAGGAAAAATTCCTGCTCGACAAAAAATTTAACCATTTAGTCTCGGCAACTGATAAAATTTAAATCAGTAACAGATTTTCCACTGTCACTTCTGATAATTTAATCGGAACAGAATTACGCTTGGTAGTCAGGTAGTAAGTTCATTGGTAGATGAGTGATCTACAAAACTGTTTTTCATTACATTGTTACTTGATACCTTACGATGTAGTTTCAAATGATCAAAATTTTCTGTAAGAATTGACTGGTCTGGTAAATGCAGTATTGGCGAGAACTTAAGCATGCGTACTTACTTACTTGAGATAGATGCATAATGATGAGTTCTACTCCACTGATTGTTCGACGATGATCCGTAGTGTCGCAATTCAATCTGTGTACGACCGATCTTTACGGAATCCAGCCTGTTGACCACGAATTTGGGCGTCTGCTGCGTCTTTCATTTAAGCATAAGTGATCCTTCAATAAAAATTACTAAAACGTTTTGCTACAAATCTTTCAAACTGTGGATAACTTTGATTGAGGAAAGATAAAAGACAATTCTCAAACACTTCCAAACCTCTGCTAAATATTAGATCTGAACACGTTGCTGGGAATGGACAACTTTTAAACTGTTTCAAAATAGTGTTTCGTTTTTTGTTCTTCAGTAAAACTAAATTATACCGACCAGTTATCCAAAATACAGATAGCGGTATCAATTTTTTGCTGAGAGTACATTATAAGGAGGAGCTCAGAAAAACCACAACACATTTTCAGCCAGTTCTTGGACAATTATGTAAATTGTAAAAACAATGATCTGTAAGTTCGCGTTGTTCATATTCTAAAGACCTAAACATATTTTTAAGAATCCTCACATTGTTCCTACTTGGGGTTAGAGTTCTCAACACAAATTGGCATCAACGATTATACAAAAGCGCTATGTAGCTATATAGACGAGTGGATTTAACTTAAAAATAAATGATGCGCTATCGGATTAGTTTATTTATAAAATGCAGTCTTAGCAAAGTATGGTCAATTTCAAGATTAAGGGTTTAAACCTAAGATTTCCCCCTCGAAATGCAAAATCTTGCTTCACGATTGGGTTGGATCGAAATCTGAACACGCGTTACGTATGCCCAACCACTGACTGCCTCGATGAGCGATGTTTTATGGTGTAGGAGTAGGTTGGAAGAAAGCTAGGGGCGACCAGACAGAAACATGGCACAAATCCATGAAGTCACTGACAAGTAGACTGAGCCATGTTGGTAGGTGTAGACTACATAGTTGGGATTCGCAAGATGATAGAAACCGATGGTTAGAAACCTTGAATGACATGGCTCCAAATCGTTTGCAATAGCGCTGATGCATCCACTCTTTGTGTTCTCCCATATTCTAATCTTCGTAATTCTTTGTGTCCCTTTATTTTTTCTCTTTCTAAATTTATTTCACTGGATTACACTCGTTGAATAACATCTTCAAATCCTAATCTTTCCGATTACTGCTTATACTTTTACTCCTTATACTACCATGGGATTTGAATCGATAATTATATCACTGTGCTAATGTGGTATGGCAACTCGAACTGATGTACATACGTACGAAGTCCTACATTGTTACTGACTGACTATCTTGAACCACAAATTCCTTTCATCATTCAAAAGTATTTTGAATTGTATCTTGTTTTTAGCGTAAATTTCTATACATCATAATCAAAATACTATCTTATGAAAACATAAATTATCAGTTGAACAATATGTTAGCTGAATTTCCTATGTTCCGAAATATATGAATATTATAAATGTCATGGATATTATTTGCCTTAAAATGGTACTAGAACAACACCAATCAAATATCATAATGTTTAACTATGTTAATTAAATACAGTTGACTAACGGTTACACTTTTAGTTATATCAACAAATATCCTATATATAACAAATATTCAACAACCTCACAGGGTTATACTTAACAATTAAAATTCATAAGAAGTGAATTTGTTTGTACAAAGACACCTGTGAACTAATCTAGTCGTAAATAAAAGAGTGAAAATAAAACAACAATATTCATGTAGCCTATTTCTCGACTGTCTTTTATCAACAAAAAAACAGCTTCATAACTCACTATTTATTTATTTTAATATAAAATAAAGAAGTACATTGTTTTTTGTGAAAATAGTAGTAATTTCAACAGTTCAGATGATGAATTAATTGAAACTAGACGATCATGGAAAACCTGGAAACATTGGACGACCGTCTCATCCTATTTTTGGACTCCTCAGTAGTGTACATCTACGACTCCACCTTTCGAGATTAGAACTCTGGATCCACTCAGTACTTCCAGGTTTTCCATAGTGATCTAACTTCAATTAACTCATGATCTCAACTATTGAAATACATATATATATATATATATATATATATATATATATATATATATATATATATATATATATATATATATATATATATAATCCAAACTGCAGTTTGGACTGAAGAATAGCCGTTCAGGTGGGTTAGACACGCGCCCTCGCCCGTCAAAATCAAAACAGGTAATCGCGTAAATGACGGTTCTATAATTCATCATATATTTAAATGTACATCGTTACCTAAACAAATATTACCACCCGGCTATTCAACCAATCAAATCTAAATTACAATCAATAAAGAAGTTGATAAAAGATGCGGGAAAAATTACCAGTCACAACAAATGAACGCTATTCTATCCTGGCTGGATAGAACATGCACAGAAGCGGGAGCAAATCAATATGGCTGCCGCCAATAACAAGTATCAAGTAAAACAACATAGATGCAGTTCGGGAAGAAACACAAAAACTTAGTGAAGGCGTAAGAAAAATAAAAACGATAATAAATAAATACAAATACTAACAACCCAAAAGACTAACAATGTACAACGAAGTGAATCAATAGGAACAAAGTGCAAGTATATACATGGAGGGATTTTCACACACACACAAAACATTCAAAACGGATCTTACATATATATTATGGTGATGATGATGATGATATTGGATTCCAAATATGCCACATGATATTCATATTCAATGGATTTTTAAACATTTCTAACCAATGTTTATATCCTGTTGTATGAGGATATTGTAATCCAATATTTATTTCACCTAATATTTGTTTAATATAATATAATTGAATATAAATTTGTACATCTTTTAAATGATCAATTTTGTTTAAATTGACATTAATCGTATGATTAAAATAGAAATTTTTTACATCTTTATATGATTTAATCCTTTCATATTGAATTAGTTTATTATAACGAATTATATAAACCATAACATAAACTTTATTCTCATTTGATGATATTGATGATTGAATAATATTTTCAAGGTTAAGATTGCGTAATTCAATTAAACGAATATGAAGACAACACGGATCATCATTATAACCATTATTATTATTATTATCACTATTATTATTATTACTAATATTATTATTATCATTACTATTATTATTATATTGTAAGCCAATACATATTTCACCTAAATCCGATAAATTACTTGTATATAATTTTAACATTTCTGTAAATCTATATTCTTGATTAAAGTATAAATTTGTATTAATATTATTAAGTAGTATATCTAGATATCCAATACATTTATCTTGACCAATAGAATCATTTATATATAATTCAATACTTAAATTTATTTCAACTAATTTTGATTGTATTATATGAAAATTAAATAATTCATTCCATATTGGTTTGAATCCATTCACATAATGAGTTGTTCTTTGTTGATCATCTAATAGAATCCAATATTGATGATCATTATCCCATATGAATAAAGTTATTATGATATATGTATAATAATTTGTTAATTCGAATGGAAATTTTAAATTATCCGCATTCATAATTTTTATACTTAATATATTGGATATTGTACAATAATTTAAACTATAATTTAATATACCTTGTATGGTATAAATTTGATTAGATTTAAATGATTGAAAATATTTTTCACCTTTATTCATTGATATGAATGTTGAAGGTTTATTGAAAGAGATTAGTTTATAACAAATTGATATGATTACATAACTCGTCATAGTTAATAATAGAAATCCAAATAATATACAACAAATAAGAAGAAATATAGCTAATGATATATTTTCTACATGGAAAAAATTTAAAAGATCCATGAGAAATGAATCATTATTCTATGATGATGCTGATGATGATGATAATCCAGTTCTAGATCTAAAGTTTTGAATATGTTACAAATCATTAACAACATTAATTACCATGGTATTTCATTGTAGATCGGTTTTGTAACGATTAGACCTAAGACATATATATATATATATATATATATATGACCTCATATATTAAATTAAACTATTATTCCAACTTACTAAACAACATGTATCATACCACTTGTAAGTTAAACGTTAAATAAAATGGTTGAAGTGTGTACAGTTTACTTTTTTTGTTGTTTTAAAGAGAATCAAAGTAGTTTATTATTATAAAACTTAAGTTAGAGAAAATAAATGAAAACACTTATAATATAACAAAAGAAAATTGATTTGGAACAGATAAACCAAATTGATTAGAAGAAGGAAAAAAGGGTGATTCTCCAAAAAAAGCAACATCTATATTTACGCTTCTTCTTATGTTAACAGCATATTAAGAGAAAGTCAGTATTAGAGTATATTAGCAGAAAACTTTAATGCCTGATGGTATAAATCAGTTTTTTTTTAAAAAAAAAGGAAATATTGACTTAGATATGTTCAAAATACCCTACTACATACTTACTTACTTACTTACTTACTCCTGTTACTCCCAATGGAGCATAGGCCGCCGACCACCATTCTCCAACCCACTCTGCCTTGGGCCTTCTTTTCTAATTCCATCCAATTCTTGTTCATTTTTCTCATGTCTATCTCCATTTCCCGGCGTAATATGTTCTTTAGTCTTCCTCTTTTTCTTTACCCTTGAGGATTCCATGTGAGGGCTTGTCTTGTGACGCAGTTGGGTGCTTTCCTCAATGTGTGTCCTATCCACTTCCAGCGCTTCTTTCTAATTTCTTCCTCCGTTGGGATCTGGTTTGTTCTTTCCCACAGTTGGTTGTTGCTAATAGTATCCGGCCAACAGATCCGAAGTATTGTGTGTAGACAACTGTTAATTCAAATCTTTAGGAGAATATCAATTTTCTGAAAGTCTCGGACATAGTTCATTATTAACTACTTTTAAATACAAAACATCAGGATCTTGTCAAGTTTAGTCTCTACAATAAGGTAGTCAGTTGATTTGTATGACGATGTTGAGTATTTCAGCTTCATAAATATACAGAAGAAGAATTATACAAGTCACTATTGATCACTCATTGATAATTTATTAGTACTCAATAAACAAGTGACTACAAATTTTACATTTTTAATGTGAAAATGAAACAACTACATGGAATATGATAATGAAGTTTTATCGTTTCCTTTCAGGGTATTTTTTTCATAGTATCCGATTAGCATGACATCGTTTGCCATTGTCAAAATTAACATGGTACAATATTCCTCTGGACGACATAAATAGTTAGAAATCACGATTAGTATAGAATAAGCAGCAAAATGTAACTAAATTACTGGTTTTTTGTGTATAAATTAAATCGATCTGGAACTGTAGTATTGAAGAATTACAGTAAAATAAGAAGTATGAAGACTCACCTTACCAGCATAAGCTTTCGCAGGTCATTGGACAATACATCAAACAGCACAAAAGCCAAAGCTATGGACTCATTTTTTTATTCACACAAGCAGTGGATGCTTTGATTGGTTTTATGCTGTGTTTAATTACAAACTTTTATATTTAGTCCTATTGCTCTATGTTTCAATCTTTTTTCACTAGTTATAAAATGTAGAAGATATATTAGTATTTATTGTCTTAGAAACTCAGTCTATAATATTAATGTCATCTTTATCAATAAGTAGTCCTCCGTGCTAATCCAATTGTTAATATTTTCCAGTCCTTTTATCTTTACGTTCCTATAGAATAATTTAAAGTATTTTTGGTGATGTTCGAGTGTCAATAAGGAGATTTTCGTAGTTAAGATTAATAGATTTTCGGCATTTCTAAATCACTTTTAGACTTTCGTAACCATCTTTTCTCAGTTTCGGAACAGATTATTCATTTTACTCTTTTCATTTAACTTTACTATGCCTATTCTCTTGAGCAAAGTTAATAAGATACGAGATAAACTATTCTAATCATATCTTAGTCATCCTGTAACATATATTTACTCTTACCAAATACCCAAGTGAAACCTTGACCATTTTTTACACAGGACTATATGATAATATGAATGTCAGCCCAGTTTCTGTATTTCTTACATAATCGTTGAGTAAATGAGTCGCCTTTTTATTATATGAATTGACTCACTAGCGAATTCCATTGTTTTATATATTTAGTGCATCTTTTATTACTGGTCTGCCGTTCAATCTTAGCATGTTTGTAAGATATGCATCCAGTATACAATTCATATCCGACTTTTATTACATTCACGCTGTATCAATAGGATTTATCTTCAGAATGTGTGGAAAGCTAACAGCATATAAATTTAATTAGCGTCATCATCACTCGATCATTATGAATTTAATGTCGGGCTGTAAACCTTTAAACTTTAATATGTCATTTATGTACTTGTTGTCTAACAGCTTTGCAACCCATGACATACTTCATTGAAGATATTGAGTTATAATTTAGTTTGTCTACATGTATTTAAGCTAGTTACGACAAAAACAAACGTCTTAATAAAGGTTATACGTTTTATTGGATGAAAACAATCGGCATTTTTCCCAGCTCACAAACAATACACTGAATATTTCATTGGTTTGAATAAATGGAAGAGGGAGTTATACTGATAGAAAAAAACATCATTGATTTTGGTCTTGTTAGTTTCAGTGGACACCAGCTAGGTGGTGGCAAAAGGATATTATAACACGGTTTGACGTGAAACGCTTCTTCAGGTAAAGAAAGCCCACTTCGAAGTTTCACGTCACTCTATCTCCGCGTACCACCTCTATATCAATCAAATACATCCTCCACCTTTAGATCATCCCTTTAACCCTTGTTTGTCCTTTATTTTTGACACGATAGATATTTTCCAACATATTCTTTTTAGCTCCGTATCCGCTTTTTTATTATCTTTAACTTTCTTTCTAACTGAACGCATTCCGAAATAAATTTAACTTAAAAAGTTCAAACAACCTACTCTAAAGCAAATACAATTTCGACAAGACAATATTAAAGCATGGTTCTGCCGATTTTCAAGAGTACGGCATGATCAGCACACGTGAGCAGTTATTCATGGGTATCAGGTGATTGTCAGGCAGGTTATACAGATAAGTTGCATTCTATCTATTTGTTAATGGCCTCTCCAAGACCATTACGCTACTTGAGGGAGCTGTCCTGAAAACGAAGGACCGACCTATTAACAACGTTTAAATGAACTGTGCCATGAAATAAGGTTAAGAAAAGTTTTGGAAACAAATATATTATTGAGAATGAGTGACACAATCGTTCGGTGAACAGTGGGCGAACGCCAATACGATAGCTTTTCTTATTCAAGATCCTTCAACTAGTCCAGGCAGGTCCTATTTGATTTCTTAAAAACTCACTGGATTATCTAACTTCCTTCTCCACCTGAACTCCTTTGTCTAAAGCCTGATTAGTCACAGAGAAGGCTCAAACAGCCTCAAACGACTCTGTCGATCTGTACACCTTTCTAGCTTGTTCGTCAATGTGTATCCAATTATGATATTATTGACAATCTTAAACATTCATTCACACTTTAGAGGCTCGTTGATCTGACTCCAACTTGGATGAACGTATAAACGTGCTATGAACACAAATCTTTCATATTACCCAGGCTAACCCCGTTTTTGTGACAGCGGTAATGAGAATCCAAATACGGGTTGCATTGCATGAATTTATTTCAAGCACCCATTTATCTAGACACAAATTTAGAATAAGAAACCGAAAGGAAGGTGGATCAGAGAAGACGACTGAACCAACTCGACTTGATCAAGCATGACTCAATATTTATAACCACAAAAAATAGACAAAAGACATGTGCCAGATAGGATAAGCATTGAGTACGCTCTCATATAAAAACAATCAAGGTTAATAAGCAAATAAATGATAAGGCCAAAATATGACTCAAGGATAGGGACTCAACTGTTCTATCCGGAAGCTAGAATGTCCCATCTGAGCTTGACATATCATTAGACAGTGCAACACAGCTCCGGTATTTAATTGTTAGTTGGTTGAGGCTATCTTTTAATGTGGAGTAAAGGAAATCGATCGGAATTTAACGAAATTATCTTCAATATGTTATGGGCTAACTTGTGTTATCTCTCAAGACCTTATAATAATGTTCCTAAACGTTTTATCTAGGAGCAACTTGTTCTAATAAATAATATTTTTGTAATGATCTTGTATAAAACGATTGATTTCATTGAGCTTGCTTCTTTTTGTTTCGGCACCGTTCCGGATATTTGGTAGCGTCTAATGCATATCAGTCTAGCCTCTCGACTGCAGCAATTCTGGTCATTTTGGTGATTATCTGTGGATTTGTATATCATGTTGTTTAAGTGAGTATTTTTTTTCGGACAGCAGAGTTTTGTGTCCAGGAGTAATCAAATTGCCAGGAGGGAGGTTGGTTGGTTGCGATGTGGAAATAAGAAAAAGGTATTTAGAATTCTCAGGGAAGACCACTGTATAAATAAATCAATAAGAGATTTACTTAACTGGTACTGTGAAAAAGACGGAACTAAAGAAATAATAAAGGAGTAGGGGTTGTACTAAAAGTTATGGAAAGCAGTTACTCATATGCGGAAACTAAAGACGTGGTGATTTATGAGACGTGCTCCAGACACAGTTGGTCTAAGAGGGGGACGGCAATCTATGTGTAGGTATGTATTTCTCAAGTCTATTCATAAAGCAAACCGCTGAGAAGACTGTATTCACTTCGGCATGAAGAGCATTTCAAATCGCGGCTATTCCTAATGAGAAGGAATGACAGTGCATTTGTTCGTTCACTCTCTGATGTGCAATTTTTTGAGGGTTATTTTGAGGACCGTTGTGCTGATGTTCTGGTTATATGCTTGTGTCGAGGTAAATTGGGTCACTTATTATGTAGTACGCCTGT